CTCTCTCTGTTCAAGCATAGCTACTTGTGTTCACAACCAGTAGAGTTTTTTGCCTCTAGACAGGTAGCAGATAGGTTTACCCTTAGTTGTTTCATTCATTTGTTGAAAAATGTTTATGGAGCACTTAATATGTGCAAAGCACCAGGGTGGGTGCTTCAGAAGATACAGAGCTGGGTAACTGGTGTTCTCTAATATCAAAGAACTTACAGTAGGCTGGAAGGTGTTTTAGGTAGGATTCTGATTGCAAGAAACACTAATCCATTCACGTTAGCTCATGAAAAAAGTTTATTACAAACATCTCATGACTATCCCAAGAAAAGACTTGCCGTGTAAGAAGTACTCATGGGGAAATAAGAGTGTTTACACAAACAGACATATGCACACCCATGTTCATTGCAGCATTGTTCACAATAGCAAAAAGATGGAAACAACCTAGATGCCCATCAACAGATGAACGGATAAACAAACTATGGTACATTCTCACAATGGAGTATTATGCAATGATAAAGAACAATGATGAATCTTCGAAGCATCTCATAACATGGATGAATCTGGAGGACATTATGCTGAGTGAAATAAGTCAATCACGAAAGGACAAATATTGTAGGAGACCAGTACTATAAAAACTCATGAATTAAGGTCTGCACACAAAAAGAAACAATCTTTGACTGTTACAAGGGAGAGAAGGGGTGGGGATGGAAAAACACTAAATAGACAGTAGATAATGGTAACTTTGGTGAAGGGTAAGACAGTACACAGTACTGGGGAAGCCAGCACAACTTGTACAAGGCAAGGTCATGGAAGCTCCATAGACACATCCAAACTCCCTGAGGGACCAAATTGCTGGGCCAAGGGCTGTGGGGACCATGGTCTCAGGGAACATCTAACTCAGTTGGTGTAACATAGTTTATAAAGAAAATGTTCTACATTCTACTTTGGTAAGTAGTGTCTAGGGTTTTAAAAGCTTGTGAGCGGCCACCTAAGATACTCCACTGGTCTCACCCCTTCGGGAGCAAGGGAGAATGAAGAAGACTAAAGATACAAGGGAAAGTCCAAAGGACTAATGGACCACATCTACCACGGCCTCAGCCAGACTGAGTCCAGTACGACTAGATGGTACCCAGCTACCACTGCTGACTGCTCTGACAGATCAAAATAGACAGTCCCGGACAGAGCTGGACAAAAATGTAGAACAAAATTCTAACTCACAAAAAAAGACCTGACTTACTGGCCTGACAAAGACTGGAGAAACCCCAAGAGTATGGCCCCCAGACACCCTTTTAGCTCAGTAATGAAGTCACTCCCAAGGTTCACCCTTCAGCCAAAGATTAGACAGGCCCATAAAATGAGACTAAAGGGGCACAACAGCCCAGGGGAAAGGATGAGAAGGCAGGAAGGGACACGAAAGCTGATAATAGGAAACCCAAGGTCAAGAAGGGACAGCGCTGACATGTCCTGGGGTTGCTAACCAATGTCATAAAACAGTATGTGTACTGTTTAATGAGAAACTGGTTTGTTCTGTAAACCTTTATCTAAATTAAAAAAAAAAAAAAGTACTCATGGGATCTGCAACTGGGAGTTCTGTGGCAATAGAGGCAGCACTCTCAGGCACCACATGGTCTCTGGGGCTGCTTATACTCTTCTCTGCGGATCTCTCTGCCAGCATGCTCCCTCTTTTTATACATGATTTTTATTTCCTCATGAAATCAGCTTGTCCAAGGTCATCTTGACCACTGCCCAGCCTCTCTGGCCTCTTTCTACATTGTGACGGTCACTTCTAATTTTGAACTGCTAGGTCTCTAGTTTCCCAACTCCAAATTTCCAGGAGAAATCTGATTAGTCCAGCTCATCTTTTCAAGCAGTGTTGTGAGTCATAGGTTGCCTGGTAGATAGATCATGGATTGTCTGCCCTTGGATTAGGAGTCTAACCAACCCTGGAGCAATTAGCTGAGGACAGAAAGAGTACAGGAATGTCCAAACATGGCCATTTAGATCACATGGAATTCAGGCCGTTATATTTCCTTAGTAGAAGAACAGGCAATGATGGACCTCTCCAGGGCTGCTGATCCTGAATTTCCCTCTACTTTGTCCTGTGGCTGCCTAAATTCTAGAACTGACAAATCATCTAATCTAAGGCACCTAATTTTCTTATCTGTAGTTAAGAAAAAAATATATCCACCTTGAGTTTTTAAGGGTGGCGCAAGTTTGTGATTGGCTACTAACTGAAATGTTGGCAGTTTGAACCCACCCAGCAGCACCATGGAAGAAAGACCTGGTGATCTGCTTCCATAAGGATTACAGCCAAGAAAATCTTGTGGAGCAGTTCTACTCCGTACCACGAGGTCACCATGAGTCACAATTGACTTGACTGCAACAGGTTTGGTTTTTTCTGTGGAATTATTAGGATTAAATGAGATTATGTTGAACATCTGACATAATACCTGGCACATACCAGTGCTGAGTAAATAGTAGCTATTACTGCTCAGTTGCTAAAACTTTCTAAGTAGTTTCTAAAATCTCTAAAGTAGCTAAGAACAGTTTGAGGGATTATTCAAAGCAATGTTCAAATCTATCCCCACCACTTCCTACCCGTGTGACCTTGGGCAAGCTATTTAATTGCTCTGTGATTCTTTGTCTGTTAAATGAGCCTAAGAATTATCTACTTTCAGAGTGATGACAGAAAATAATCACCTTAACACAATCAATGGCTCTAACAGTAATAAAACAAAAAAAACCCAAACCCGTTGCTGTTGATTTGGGCACATAGTGACTCAGTAGGTACTCAAATTACCAGAGTTGATGGCTTAAAACGACAGAAATTTATTGTCTCAGTTCTGGAAGCTAGAACCTGTTGTGTCTGTGGACCCATCCTCTCTCCAAAGGCTCCAAGGAAAGATCCTTTCATGCCTCTCCCAGCTTCTGGTACCTCTACGTGTTCCTCAATTGCAGCTGCAGCGTAACTTCATCTCTACCTCCGTCCTCACATGCCATCTTCACTGTGTCTCTTTTCTTCAGTAAGTACACCACACCTATTGGATTAAGATCCACCCTACTGCAGTATGATCATGTTAACTAGTAACATCTTCAAAGACTTTATTTCCAAACAAGGTCACGACATAGGTATTGGCAGTTAGGACTTCAACATATATATTATGGGGACGCAATTCAACCCATAATCGGAGAACAACAAACAAGGTAAAATATAAAGGAAATACAGGTACACATTTGAAAAGAGGTCAGTTATTCATTGATAAGCTTTTTAATTTTTAGAATGTATTATGGGTTGAACTGTGCCCCTCCAAAATGTGTTGAAAATTCTGACCCCTGTACCTGTGGTTATAATCTCATTTGGGAATGGGTTTTCTTATGTGAGGCATTATTAATGTAGGGTGTGTCTGAAATCAATCTCTTTTGAGATACAAAACAGCGAATTAGGCAAGCAAGCAAGCACGCACAAACTAAGATACACGCCACATGATCTCCAAGGAACCTAGGAATAGAAGCTGCAAAGAGACAAAGACCTTCCCCTGAAGCCTATATGAGCGAAAAAGCCTTTGAGATGACATCAAAGCTACCGTTGGACTGCAAATTCATGAGACTGAGCCAGAAGAACCTAGGAGACATACTCCTGAATTCCTGACCCAGAGAAAGTATGACAGTACAAATATTAAGCCATTAAGTTTTAGATGACTTGTTATACAGTAATAACTAATGCACACTGGTGATGCTAATTACCATAGCCACCACTTGCTTGGGCTCAGAAAACTGCCACTCTACCTTTAACATTTTGGCTTATTATTGGCACCCACAACCCTTCTCCTTACAGCACAGGTGAAATAAGGCCGGAACATTAAACAAGGTCAAGTCATAATTTGAAGAAGTTAACATGCAACTAGATGCATCTAGTTTTTTATTTCACTCACTTAGGAGTTCAGGAGTCTGTAGGTGGTACAGACGGTTAAAGGACTTGGCTACTAGCTGTAAGGTTGGCAGTCAAACTCCCCCAAAGTCACCTCCGAAGAAAGCTTAGCAGTCTGCTTCCAAAAGTCAACAGCCTTGAAAACCCTATGAAGCAGTTCCACTCTGCACACACGGGAGCTGCCATAAGTAAGACCCGACTCCACAACAACCAACATAATAAGGGTTTGTTATGAGAACGCTTCTTGCCTGGGTTACCTTATACTCCTTAAAGATTTTTTCCTGAAGCCCCATGTATACTTTATATAGAACTGTCACAACCCTATCCAGATTTACCATACCCAAAGGTCTCAAAATAAAACGTAATCAAACTTAGAAAATATCAACTATATTGTAGATTGGGCTTGTTTAGTTAACCAAACATAAGGAAAAACAAAACAAGAATAAAGTGGATTACTTTCCAGTTCTTAAAACATCAGTTTCGGCTTAAACCTACGACTGTATCTCAAACGCCTAAATATGACACAGTGTTGCTTTCCCAGTGGTGTTCACCTAGTTACCAAGCAGGTTTAGGTATTCTTAAAAATTAAACTGATAATAAAGTTTATGGTAAATTTTCTGTAATATAGATTTGTGTGAATAGAATTAGGTTACCCGAAATGTTTTTTAGGTATCAACTGTTTTGGTCTCTTTAAGAACTATCACTGTAATAATCAGCCTAATATAGGTTGCCTTTACAAATAGGGATTAGTAAACTTAAGATTTAAAAAAAAAAGTAGCAAAAATCTGATCATACATTGAAATTACTTGTCAAAATATAGCTGCAAATGAATATTTATCCATATTTAAATTTAACTACAATTAAAATCAAGTGTTTTAAAACTTAGGGCACACTTCTTAAAAATGTAGGAACTCTCAAGTGACAAAATTTGAGACATGATAATTTACAAAAAGGGATCGGAACATTCAACCAACAGTGGCTAGTTTGCATTTTTTCCTTGAGGTTTTAACTTACTTCTTTCTAACTACGTTAGGAGAAAATCTTAAAACTAGTGTTTCAAATAATCATCAAGTCACAAACAAATCATCAACAGTTGGGTTTATTGCGACAGTAAATTTGAAACTCCTGCCTTAGGCAAGGGTACTACCAGTAATTATATCAGGAATAGACAATTTCCTACGCTGTCAAATATATAAAAGTTCCTTTTGACTTTCCTCAACACCGATCAGTAAGCAGATTCAGTCCATATTTGCTTTGATCTATTTACTGAGTTAACCCGAGCTTCTTCTTCAGAGACTCTGGCATCTCAGGTGGAGGAGGACGAGGCAGTCTGAAGTAGACCTTCACAGAGTCATAGATGAACCACTGCAGTGCAGTCAGAGTGCCAATCATGATGATACGAGCAAAGAGTCCCTTCCACACACCTGGTTGAAATATGAAACATGAATGAAAAATTGCAATATACCCAAAAATGTTCTTTAAAGGAAAAAAATAAATCCTACCTTTAAATCCAAGTCTCTTGAGGACCTGAGAAGCACTGCTACCTTTCTCTTTATTCAACACAGATACCACAGAATCAGCAGGGTGAGAAACAATTGCACAGAAAACTCCAGCTGAAAAAAGTCAAGATAAATGATCCAATATGGAGCCAGTTAAAATACAAAGATACACATTATCCAAGTCACATGATAGTCAACAATCTTTTTCATGATTGTAAACATTGAAATTTTCTTTTAGTTCTTTAAAAAAATAAATCAGATTCAGAGTGAGACTGGTAAGGTTATAAAGCAGTTAACCCAATGTAAAATAAAAGATCCTTTAGAAGTTTTTATATTCAGATTTTAGCTGTCACTTCCTTCCTCTTATTTTAACAGACTGTTCTTGAAAAACTAAAACAAAAAAAAAACAGATGGTGCAGCAGTGAATGTCCAAATTCAGAAAAGAAATCAGGAGAAAGATCTAGTGGTTGTGGAGATTAATACATTCCCAAGACTAAACATGACATGCAAACTATAAAATAATCCTTTTAGGAACTAATACTTTAGCAAGTATTTATGACTCCTGAAGGGCATATGAAATGTTATGGGAAGATGAAAAAAAAGAAAAATTCACTGAAGTACTCCCCCACCACCACACACAAAAGAAGCCAATAACAGAAATAATCATTTGTCCTTAATTTTATAGACAACTGCGCTCTAAATAATTCATACCTATATAACCTGCCACAAATGTTACAACAAGCTGTTCTGGCTTTGAACATTCACTTCGGGGCTTGGGAACCACAAACTTGTACAATGCTTCAACAGTACGTTCAAAGCAGGCAAATTTCATCATGGTGTATGGGATCTGCCTCATCCAGAGAGGAGCAACCCCCTTGTAGAATCTAGGAAATCAGGAGACTTCATTTTACACAGTTGTATATACTCATCTAGCAGAGATTTTCATTAACATTAACAGAACTGTCCGCACACCAGTCAAGTCCTGATAGTAAAAAAAATGGCAGCATAACTGCATGTCATTTCTATCAGAACCTAAGACTAACATGCAGGTATATTTATCTCACATGCCAATGACTCAAGCACCTTCGACTATACAACCAAAAAAGTTGCTGGATGTTTCTCTGACTGGAACTACAAGAAACAAGTTTACAAGTAGAACTCAGTTCAAGATTGGCATCCACAAAGGTGGATCTAAGGAAGCATGTTGTGGCTCAATATATGCAAACTCTTATCACATACATCAAATGAATTCTTACAAGCCATCCAAAAAGGTACAGTAAATGGTTAGGTCAAATACTGTTAAGTACAGATTGCAAATATCAAGTCATCTGTAGAATGTCAAATGGTTCTTTGGTGTAAAGAAAATGCTTATTTGAAAAAAAAAGAAAATGCTTAATTTGAGAGCCCAAGCCATGAATTCACTTTTCAGAGAATATATACATTAAAAAAAAAAAAAAAATTATCTTCTTCTCCAACTGTATCTAATAAAATTTATAGCCACCACTAGATCTATCTGCTCAAGTTAGGTCTTGGACATCTTTCACATATACAGCACCTACTGAACAGATACTACGTATGAGTTTGGATCAATTTAATTTAGCTTGAAATGTATCAGTGAATAAAATAAAGATCCTTGCCATGGAACTTACATCTACATCCTATGTAGGCAGAAATAGACATTAAACAACATAATAGTTTTAAAAAAAAGTCTGGTGGACTTAATGCTACTGAAAAAAATTAAGTTCCTCAACACTGGAAGATTATTTTTATACTACAAATGCAGGCAAGTGTTTCACTTACGCCTTTAAGCCTTCTTCCTTATACATTTTGGGAGCTGCATCCCTCAAAGTGTTGGCATAACCTGGCTGGGTTTGAATTCGAACTTTAGTAGCTTCCATAGGAGCCAGGGCTATGTCAGCAAAGAATTCAGCACTGGCAGAGGCAGCCAAATACAGTGATGTGCGCCAGAGATAGGCATTCTCCTAAAATGAAAAACATAAGGAAGAAAAGGAATTGCTTTTGCATTGGCTGTTTTCAATTCAACTTTAAGTGATGGTTCTAGAAAACAAGTTTCAGACAAATTTTAAAAGTATTACACAGTCCACAGACAATACACGAGACCGAATATATGCTATCTCTTACATACCACAATGTGAACTAATTTTTTTTTAAGTCTAGGTGCCAAGTATACTTAGCACTGGAACTACACAAAAGAATGCCATAGCCCTTTTCTTTAAAAAACTTAAAATCTAACTTATTTGGAAAGCAGAATAAAAAGAGCACATAAGTTTAATGAAATACATTTTCTCATCCTGCCTCTAATAAAAACAGCCTCATGATCTGAGGAATGTTGTTCACCATTTCTGGGACCATCTCTTCAGTTCTAAAACAAGGTGGGCCACACAAAACCAAAGATCCTTTATGGTACTTAAAATTTAATGCTTAGGACTTTCAATGTCAAATTAAATTACATACCTCTCCAAGTATGTTGCTATATAATACTTTGAAGACTTCATAAAAGCCAAACTTGCAAAGCCCCTGAAGAGAGTAGCCAATGAAAGTCGGAGCCCATCCTTTCGCCAAACCACGAAAACCATCTTCTTTAAGTGTAATTGAGAATCCATTAAATATGCCCTTGTACTTCTGGGGATCCACCTTTACTTAAAACAAACAAACAAAAAATTAGTTAAATATACCAGAAAGCTAACACTTCTTTCTCATAAATATTTAATCTGCTGGTAATTGACTACAAGCAGTTTTTCCTTTTGGTTCTAAAATAAACTTCAGTAACTACAAAAGGTAAATACAAGTTTACTGAATGATACCAGCTTAATGTCTATAATTACCTCTGTAAAACATAACTTTTTGTACATTAAAATCTAGCTGTGAGTCATATTTAAGTCTTGGAAAGATACTTAAAAACCGTACCCACTATCGAGTTGATTCAGACTCATAGAGACTCTACAGGACAGAGGAGAACTGCCCCATAAGGTTTCCAAGGCTGTAATCTTTGCCACCAGGGCTCCAGAGAAATACATAAGGGGGCAAAATTCCTACAGATATACACAATAAAACTGATTCTTAAGAGATTTCTCATCACCAAATTCTTCTTACCACTAAAAAAAAAAATTCATTTTAAAGCTACTGCCTAAATAATAGATCAAGTCTAATATGCTAGTCCATTAAGCAGATTATATACTATAAAATTCTGTGAATTTAAGACAGTCAAACTAAATATTAGTTAAAAAGATACATCAACACAATGAGAATCTGCCTTTTAATTTAAATTCACTTCAAGAGACATGCACAAGAAATTTTAGACAGAGTATATTTTACATCCATTCTATTAACTAATGGAAAAAAAAATCTTATCTATTTCTGCCAGTACTAAAAGGGCTGGTATGGTATACATCACCTTCCTCTCCCTCCTAATATTTCACCTTCCTTTCTCTTTTAGGTAAGTGGACTTCTAATCCTGTTTGGGACAAATAAATTTTTGATGTTTGATTATTTTTGTTTCAATCATCCTAATTAAAAGATATTTATATTGTAAAAAAAACTTTTATGTTAATAAACGTTAAGAGGCTATGCCCACAAAATTTTTCATACTGAGATATCAAGGGTATTTTTTAAAATATCTACATAGTGCTCTCTGCCTTCATCTTATCAATAGATAAAAGACATGAAGTTACTTCACATAAATCCACAAAGACTAATTACCCACCCTGACTGTTTCGGGCATAAAGAACCAGTTAGCCATTGTAGAGGAATTCTGGCCAGAACTGAGGCACTCAAAAGAGTCTGAGAGCGAACAATCTACCCACACACCACAAATTCAAGAAATTTTCGAGTTTGCTCTCCTACTAAAGTTTCTAGCAGTTATTATGTCTTCAAATTCTTATTTTCTGAAGCCCTTTAAGATTACTCAGAATTAAGTCGCACATGAAAGATACTACAATTTTGATGGTGTCATCTCAATACAAACCTGCATACGGCATTTCACTAAATCCAGAGGAACAACAGCAGTGTGTGTCAGACCACAACTTAAGACCCCACCAAAGCCACATAGCGCATAAAACTTCATGGAGCCATATTCACAACTGTACTCTGCAGTAAAGACAAGACACACCATGCGTTTTAATGTAAAACTCATGTTAATGATCATCAACTTACCTCCCAGACAGTTAGGTTTCCACACAGCTTGTTAGTAGATGACTACATCTTACGCCTTAACAGCCATGCTTCAACAATATGCCTTAGTCCAACATGCAAAACAAACCTGCATTCTGCATTTAACCAGATCTAGAGGAACCAGTGCTGTATGTGTTGTGCCACAGCTAATAATTCCTCCAAGTCCACAAAGCATAAAGAATCTGCCAGATCCATAATCACAGCTATACTGCTCTGATTGGGGAAAAAAAAAAAAATCGAGTAAGTTTTTCTTCAGGATGACTCAGGCCATGGTATGGGACGTAAGAAAACAATTTCCCTGTGAAATAGCAGTATCACAGCTGAGGGGCCTTGGCCTCCTTTTACAGTTAAGTTGAATAATTAATCTAGTGGGAATTAACAAGAAATTCACTGCGAAGTCAAAACAATTATTTAAAGATTGTGAGAGGGCCTTATATCTACGTACTAACCATGTCAGTTTTTTTAAAAAAGTTTTCTATATTAATGGCTTTTACGACAATATTAAAATCAGAATTCAAATTATTAACCACCAATAAGAACACACTTCAGAGCACAAATCAAACTCAGAAAGAGCACCCTAACATGTAAAAGATTACTCAAGCCACACTAATCAATACTATCCCCCCTTACAGATTCCTATAGCACTGAACTAGATACAGGTAGTCCCCTGACTTATGATGGGTTTCCATTCCGTAAGTAGGTTCTTGAAGTCGAATACCTCATTTTTTAAAATTTGTTTAGTTTTCATTATTATTGCTTTTTATCAGTATCTTTATAAATCCGATCTTTGTCTTTGGGGGTTGGAAACATTACATAAAAATTTACAGATATATTTCAACATTGTATATGTAGTACATTTGCTAATGATAAAATGTACCAAAAAAAGATGGTGGTACTTGAATAGGATTTAAGTAGGGGACTATCTGTATACATAAATTTCTGTAATCAAATAAATACATCTAATAATCTCACAAATGACGTTAGCTTTAACTTTTTTAATTGAAGGGTGGAATGATAGTTTGATTTTCTACTCACACTAAAGACAGAACAGAAACACATGCATAATCTAAAAAAAAAAACGTTTAGGTTTTACAGGCACAACGTAGATACCAGTCTCATGACTCCTACAATTCAGTTTTCAAATTTTTCTGTACATACACTCCACTGGGACTTAAAAACATACAATTAGGTTAGAGCTGGGCCCAACCACCCGGAATCCCGAAGACCAAAGGAAGTTCTACCGATGATTATCTCCTCTCTGTAGCCTACCTGGGGCTTCAAGTTGCCTCTTCTACCACTAGCATGAAAACTTAAAGCGACCCAATTATCTCATCTCTTTTGTCAACTAATATCACACTCAGGGAATACTTGGGAATACTTAAGGTAAGGAAAGGGAATACTTTTAAGAAGGGGATTAGCACCAAATCGAAGAACAGATAATATAGTTTGAACTGCCCATTATCAGTGGTAAGGAAGGAGACTACTCAATACTTGGTCTGCTGACCAGGCGCGTTCTCGCTGGTGAAGATAAGGAGCTACTCACAGCCTCTCTACCTTGGCCTTCCCTCGAGGGCGTGGAGGTCACGGCTGACGCTGGACCTAGGCCCTTCCACGCCCTTGAGGAAGGCCAAGGATCGGAAACCCGGTCTAGGGCGGAAAGGGATGACATCCCTGGGCAGGCAACTGAGGGACGTCCTGTGGTTCAGCAGACAGGCGCGTCCTTCCATGTCCTCCAGACCCGGCCCAAACCTCGAAGGCAGAGCGAATAGCGAGTAGGAGAAGAGACTATTATTAAGGCAGGCTCTGATCTCACCTTCTACAGCGGCGGCTGCCAGGTTGCGGGAGCGGCGGGGCAGGCCTGGAGGCCCGGCGGGGCTGCTGCGCGGGTCCGAGAGGCCATCGTGCACCAGCTGCAAGTGCGGCGCGTTGAAAGGGTTAGCCCGTGCCAGGTGCGCCACAGACGAGAACATCTTCCTAGGGGAAGAGGGAGCGGCAGTCATTGGAAGGCGAGGGGGTCAGTCAAGCCAGGCAATGTCACCAGCGCCCTGGGACTCCGATCCGAGACTTCTTCCCGTCTCCGCGCCCTTGAGGAGGTCACGGCGCATCCCCAAAGTAACCCGCGCCCAAGCCGGCCTACAGCCAAGACAGTGGTCCCACAGGGTCTCTGAGCTCCGCTCCCCGCACCCACCGTGGGAAGGCCGGGTCACACTCACTCCCTAAGATGGCGAACACCCGTCCGCTCTCTCGGAAAAGCTGCGGCTCACAGAGGCCGAACGTCCTCTCAGCCCTTAGATCTGTGCCCTTCGCGCGCCGTCAGCGTGATGCACGCAGCACGTCAACCACAAGCACTCGGTGCCCATTGGCGGAGAAGACCGCCGAGACCGTATCGTCATCACGTTCTCCTAGCAACCCTTTCCCCGCCCCTGCCCGCCCCAGCCCTTCCGGCCCGGCGTCTGCGCAGGAGGATTCGTTCTGCGCAGGCGCACATTGCGGGCCGGGTGTTAGAGAGGTGTGGGACTTGTGCTCGTGACCGGTTCTCATTGTCATTTCACCTTCAGGCGTCTTTTCTTGAGTCCGAGATTCCTTGTCTTTTCATTTAAGTGAGTTCTAGTATACGGTAGTCACTTTTAAAAAAAGAGAAGAGACTAATGCTTGATTTATTATGTAAGTTGCGGTTAGAATCCCACTGCAGAATTTTGTCACAACTTCCAACATTAGAGTTTTTTTTTTTTAAGTACTATCCATTGACATTAAACATAGACATGCCTGCATTTTCCATTAGAGTACGGGAGAATATTTTAAAAGGGAATGTACAACAAGAACTCTTAAAATAGACAAGACAGTCCGCTGGTTTAATCTCAATAGTCTATATACACAATAATTTACAACACATTAATTCATTCATAAAAGCTTTTTAACACTTGGGGATACGGGTAAGGAACTAGAGCGAAATGACGGCAGCAGACTGTGTGTTTAATAAATTTAGAAAATCTTCACTCGATTCAGTTGATCTGGGAGGGGCCTGGTTTAGTTGGGAAGAGCTTAGTAGTGGTCAAACATCTGTTATGATTCTGGCTCTGACGTTTTCCCAGCTCTTTGGTAGGTAAAGTAACCTTGGGGATTTTCTTGATCTCTCTGAATCTGTTTCTTAAATGTAAGATGGGACCAGGGTTGGCCTCATGGGCTTACTGCCTGTATAGTCACACAGGGCCCCACACTTGGTTTAATGCTGTGCTGTTGTTGCAGGGGTCTTCTGCCCAACCTGGGCAACCCCTATGAGGTTCTTGCCTTCTGCTGACCAAGAATGACCAGGAGAGGCTCAAGTTTTCTGCATGAACAAAGCTTTATTGAGAAAAAGTAGTTTGCAAGCAGAGATAAAGAGGGACAAAACAACGCTAGCCTTTGTCTTTTAGAGGAGAAACATCATAAAGTTTAGTAAAGCAAAAAAAGTTTTATTCGGCATATATTCAAAAGGGCAGAAGTGGTAAAACGGAGAAGCATGCTGCTAGAGCCATGTCTGTCCAAGTCCAAGGAAATACCACAGAACAGATAAAAGTGGGAAAACAGACAAGCATGCTGCCACAGCCATGTCTGTCGGAGTCCCAAGACCATTACAGAGTCATCAGTATATATTAACATTACCAAGGGGCAAAACCATTGAAAGCTTAGCCTTTTCAGATTAGCTAGAAACTGTGATCCTACATTTCGAATTGTCTTTCTTAACAATCATTGGTACAGGTTTCAGTAACAAGAGTCAGGAGGGTCTTCACTGGTCCAACAAAGTTCTATTCACTAAATGCTAATAGAAAAAGATATGAGTGGAAAGTCTTTTGTGTTGTGTTTGGTCGGCTTTATATGACAGTTTCCCTAAAAGATATTTTCCAAGATTATCTTAGCTACCGTCTTTATACGTCAGGGCCCAGTTGGTGCGTCCTTGTGAGTCCTTGTGGGCCCAGCTCCAGCTGGGTAACATCCTTTATGCTCAAGGACAGGGAATAATAATTCCAGTATTATTTTCTAAATCAGTCTTCCTGAATAAAGGATTGGCTACGGCTTATAAAGATTTTTAGGCGGGAAAAGGCATCATCTTTCTTCATGAAAGAGGTGGGGTTATGCAGACCAGGTGCGCGCGCAAGAGGTAATTCAAGATGGAACCTGTAACAAAGGCTCCTGGGACTGGATGGCAGGACTTATTGTGGGGTGCCGCACCTGCACAGTTCCCCCGTGGTGCCAGCTCAATTCCTGTCACGGGTCTGTCGGTCACCTTGCGGATGTCTGCGCACCCTCCAGGGACTACATCAGGCGATTCTTCTGAAAAACATCAAGGAAGTACATTGAGAGCTGGGTGGGTTGTTCTTTCATTATTGTATGTTCCAAGATATCGGGTTTTGTGTCATTAGTTAAGCACATGTTTTTAGTTCAGGGTCCTTTGCCTAGGGGCTCAGTCCCTTTTTCCCTTCCCTATCTCACTGTCACTGCTTTGAAATTATTGATAACTTATGAACCAGGAGCCCCACATTTCTCATTTTGCACTGGGCTCTGCAAATTATGTAGCTGGTCCTGGATGAGAGTAACATTTATCTTACAGGGTTAGTGAGGGCTCAATGAGATGCGTCTAAAAGTCTAAAAATGATGGTCTGTAAAAAATTAGCTATTACTCAGGCAAGGTTTTAAAACTCTCCCACCAGCTTTAAGAATGGAGAAGACCACTGAAAATGTTACAGCCAGATGTAGGCAAAGGGTCCTTGAGCAAGGATATAGTACAAAGTTATAAGAATGAAGAAGACAATAGACTTAAGAAAGCACGGATCATATTTTTATTTATTTATCGGTAAGGCTCTTAGATGAACCTTGAAAGAGCTCATTTCCTCAAGTATGACAGGCTGAGTCTTAACCCGGTTCCATGACTGAGGTGTGGGACCTCAGTCACATATCCTGTCTGTGGAGGTGGCAGCAACCTGACTGGGTTGTGACACAGAGGTAGGATCTGGACATTTAGGAAATGTGCATGTGATGAGGGCTAGTTTGTGCAGAAGAAAAACAGCAACAGTCGTCAGAGGAAGAATTCAGGAATAGAGGGTACAGGTGTTGTAGGGGAAAAACATCATAAATTTTAGTAAAGCAAAAAAAAAGTTTTATTCGGCGTATATTCAAAAGGGCAGAAGTGGGAAGCGGACAACCATGCTGCCAGAGCCATGTCTGCCCAAGTCCAAGGAGATATCACAGAACAGACAAAAGCGGGAAAACAGAGAAGCATGCTGCCACAGCCATGTCTGCCCAAGTCCAAAGACCAGTTACAGAGCCATCAATATATATTAACATTACAAATGGGCAAAACCATTGAAAGCTTAGCCTTTTCAGATTGGGTAGAAACTGTGATCCTACATTTTGAATTGTCCTTCTTAACAATCATTGGTACAGGTTTCAGTAACAAGAGTCAGGAGGGTCTTCACTGGTCCAACAAATTTCTATTCACTAAATGCTAATAGAAAAAGATAAGAGTGCAAAGTCTTTCGTGTTGTGTTTGATCGGCTTTATGTGAAAGTTTCCCTAAAAGATATTTTCCAAGATTATCTTAGCTATTTTCTTTATATCTCAGGGCCCAGCTGATGTGTCCTGGTGGGTCCAGCTCCAGCTGGATCACATTCTCTATGCTCAAGGAGAGGGAATAATAACTTCAATATTATTTCCTAAATCACAGGAAAGGAAGTAATGGCCAATAAAGTTGAAAAAGTACACTAACTCCTGATTGCCTAGGGCCTCACATACAAGGCTGAGGAGCTTGAGGCACTGAAGTTTTTTTCTATTTTTGTTAATTCAGCTTTAAGATATTTTTCTGATTTAAAAAAAAAAAAAAAATCTCATCATGAAAAAATTAAATACTACATAAAAATATGTGACTTCAGTGAATTCTCCTACTGCCCTCTCTCCAGCACCAGATAATCACTGTTTCAGTTTGCTACCGGTTTTTCTGCTGGAGCAGCTGATGCTCTTCACTATACTACGCCTTAGACTCAGAAAATGATGAAGGAGATCCATTGGTAGCCGAAGAAGCTGCAGGCCCAGCTCCTGCCCCATGTCAACAAGGTGCACCAACAGATTAATGACAATGTGCATAAGTTGTGACGGTGCCTCGTGTCCTACTCTGACCTTCAGAATGTAATGGCTGTTGCTTAACTTCTACATTCCAAATATTGCACAAATTTCCCTTGTAACTAACCCTAAACCAGAACCATACTGGGGAAGAAATTCTAGAAAATATAGTTCCAGCTTAGCTAAATTGACAGTCCACCTACTGTCCATGTGGCATCCATGCACACTTCTTTTAATCACATTTAACTTTCAAATAAAGATTAAAATGGCAAAATCATGCTTCCACCTAACATGATGCAGCTATCCCTGTACTGAAAATACACTAACCCTCTCTGAAAAAGGATGCAAGCTCCTTTTATCCATCTTTGGATGATGTTTACTTCTCTCCCAGCTGAGTCCCATTCCCTCTGTTTACAGCCTATAGCATAATTACCAAGATATGAGATTAAATACTGTTAACACATCTTATGTTAGATAATAAGAGAATGGGAAAAAGGGAAGAAAAGAAAAATATTGATTAATATATGCAAACATGTATTCATAGCAAATAAGCATTGTGTCATGTCGTTAGTAGTTATTGTTGTTAGTTGCCATAAAATTGCTGTGACCTTTTGGGAGCAGATTGCCAGGCCTGTCATCTGAGATGCTTCTGGGTGGGTTCAAACTGGCAACCTTCTGGCTAGTAGTCAAGGGGTTAACTGTTTGTAGCACTCAGGGACTCCTTTTATTAGTAGTAGGAGGAACCAAATACAGCAACTTGGCCTTCACCTGGAAAGGGATAAATTGATAGGCCCTAGACTAATGGACCCGAGAAATTTCACCACATACAGGTGATCAAGGTCCTTGAAGACTGTAATATTGGGTTGGAGAGTTGACATAGCTCTGAGGTAAGACAGTGAAGAGAAAGCAGACTGTTTCTATGCATTGGGGAAATAACATAGGATGAGTTTGGGGACCCACTGGGCACGCAGTGATTCAGACCTCAGCAAAAACTCCATTGATCACCTAACCTTCACATAAGTTCCTTCTCTGGTGGCCACAGTGGTGTACTGGGTCTCTAGAAATTAGTATCAGTTCAGAGCTAGCATCCAATAAACTGTAGAAAATTTTATTATTCCTTCTTCCCCAGTGCATAGTCAAACTAGTAGGTGACTGTAGGTCACTTTAGGG